CGGTGTAGAACCGGGTTGTGTGGAACCGGGCGATGTGGAACCGGGCGATGTGGAACCGGGCGATGTGGAGCCGGGCGGTGTGGAACCGGGCGATGTGGAGCCGGGCGGTGTAGAACCGGCGGTGTCTCCATCTTCCTAGTCAGAACTCCAGCTGCAGGTTCTGGTCTGTCGGTTTGTTCTGCTGCAGGAATCAAAGTTTCTCTGATCAGAGACTTTAGTCTCTGGTTCTGGAAATGTTCTGCAGCTGGCAGAAGGTCCACTGTGGAACTGGCTTTATGTGGTTATGGAGGCTCAGGTCAGAGGTCAGAGGTCAGCCTGATCTCCAGTTTCCAGCTGGAATAACTGAAGCTGTGTGTTGACTCTAGATCTATAACTCTAGATTGTTCCTCTTTAATAAGTTGAGTTTCTGTTCAGCTGGAGAACGTTTTGGTTTCAAGCTTCACAGCAGAATTTTACTTATTTCTGAAAAGTGCGGCTGGAGTTTTGTTTTCTCATTGAAAATCTGCAGATTTACACTGGAAGAGCCCAGAGAGTGGACGCACTCAGCCTGCTGAGGGGGCCAGAATAGAAATGACGCCATTAGAGTGACAGGTGTTCTGGACTGGACCCGGTTGGTCAGCCTGGCTTTGTCCTGGCCCGTTCTGCGCCTCATCCATTAACCACATTGTGCCAGCAGCTTAGACAGGGAGGATTATCAGACGCCACTTTCTGCCTCTTAAACAAGCTGCAAACAGCAGAGACAAAGCAGATGAAAGACTCAGCTAAATGTCAGGCAGCTTTGTATTGTAAATGCAGCTTTTATGCCGTTTTGCTGCTGCTCATGTTGATTCTCCGACGTGACGAAGACGCCGAGAGGAAGACGAAGCGGGCTGCTGCCGCCGGACGGTTGTTGCTAAGCGTTTAATCTCTCGTGCTTGGAGAATACAAACGATCTTGTAATCGTCCCTGACCTTGACATGAGCGGCGAGGTGGGCGAGGGAGCGCGGCTGCTTTGCATTTCCCACAGATGCCTTGCAGAGACGCGCAGAACAATTAGCCAACTGGATAAAACGGAGCTGAGCCCGTCTTACGCACAGCGTCCGCCTCGCCTTCCCATCGGAGCACGAACCTGGCACAACCCCAAACCACGGCTTCCTCTCATTTCCTACACTTAATTATGACAAAGAGCGGCCATGTTGGGTCAGGCTGGGCGTTCCTGTGGGCCTTCTCGCTCTGGGATTATCGATTTTACTGCTAAATCACTTTTCCAACGTTTATGAATGGTGTAATATTAGCAGAGGAGGAAAGAGGAGAGTAAAAAAGGATTGGCTAAAAATGATCATTTAGGATTTAAAAAGTATATACAAAACATAAAGTTCAGTGGAAATGTTGGTATTTTAAGGAACAAAATAATAATTCATATAAGTAACATACAATAAAATAAAAGTTTCATTTGCTGGATGGTTTTGAAGGTTTTCCTGATTCAAACAGTTTGACTGAATCTTTATATTTACGCTGAAAAAACACAAAGTCTTACCAAGTCCAATTGGTCCAGTTTCTATAAATACCTGATTCACCTGAAAACACGACAAAACTGACTGACGTGAAATAATCTGCCAATAGGATGAGAACTTTTTCATCAATCAAATCCAATCAGGCTCATGTTGCTGATTTAGTTTCTAGATTTTGTGGTTTTGCAGTTCAACAGTTTGTAGACAATAAATGAAACAAAATATGAATATTTTAGATTCTGTCATCCTGTTGAGGCTTTACTAGATCAAAAAAGCAGAAAGAATCGTTGAGTTCGTTATCTGTTCAAATTCATCGAGCTGAATGTTTCCAGCAGCACAATACTGCCACCGCCGTGCTTTACTGTATTCAGTGTTACCTCACCACCAAACATTTACGTTTTAGCAAACTTTGTTTGAGAAAATCTTCCTGTAGTTTTTCTGATCACGTGTTTATAGTGCATTGCCTGCAGTTTCATTGTTGAGTTTCTCCAGATCATCTGGACCTACCCTAACCCTCAGAAGGATAAACGTTCAAGTTTTGCAATTTCATTGCTGTTTTTCTTTCTGCACTTCTTGTTCACCTAGAATAAGACGAATACATTGAAGGTTGTTTTACTGTAGCACCAACCTGAGTGAATATTTCGGTACCTTCAGGCCCCCTGCAGACAGAAGGACAGGTCAGGTGTGTGAAATGTGTGTGTGCTGCCGTTGACCTCTGAACCCTGAAATCGCCTCCATGCAATTACTAAACTATTGTCCTCCGACAGCGGTGCATGATCTCTGTTATTTAATATGCTGAGAGCGGAGATATGATTCTACTTGAGGCAAATTCAATTTCTGTTTTCAGCAGTTTGATTATAAGAGCACAGCCTGAGCTTTCTGCGCGCTAAGCCAATATTTAGCTTCTTAGCCTTATTTCACAGAGGGACGATAGCGCGGAGGACGGGACGAAGCTGGGAGGATGTTTATTCCTTTTACTGTCGTCTTTCAACCACAATGAAACGTTACGAGCAGCAGCATCAGATTTAGCTGCACACTTCTTTGTTTTGGTTATCTGAAGCATTTTATGTCCCGTGTGCTTTCTGCTCCACTCTCAACATTTCATGTTGTGCGATTTGTTTGCTGCAGCCAGCAGCTCCATCCATCTCCTTTATGTTTGGCCTGGATTCCTAAAAAGTGAAGCTTGTTAACATCAAAAGGTAAAAGAATAAAATGACAGAAAGAAGAGCTTTAAATTTTTAAAAGGAAATACATGAAACCCAGCAGGGCTTTGACTTCGCTGCTTCAGTTTTATTTTATCTCAAATAGCAGGTTTCAGAGGACTGGATCCTTATTACAGGCCTCTGGACTGATGTATTTTTGGCTCTTTTTGATGTTTTACAACAATTTGAAGAGCAGTTTAATAACTGTGACAGAAGAAACTCGTCTGTATGATCAGAAACACAAACCCAGGCACAATCTGAGGTTTCTCTGCAGCGTCTCCATCATGTTTTAAAGTTTTTTTATCTTGTTAATTTCCAGATATGCATTTTTAAAGACGAGCTTCAAACCCAACGTGGAGCTCATCAACAAACTATGTTATTGATTACTGAGAAGGAAGATTTTGTTCTTCTTTTATGTTATTTTATATTTTCATATCAACCCGTCTCATTTCCCGCCAAAAATAAACTTTAGTTGATTCAAAATAATTTTTACAAATCTGATGGAGAAGGAATATTTCTGGACACTTTCTAGTACAAAAGCATTTCTGTAGTAAAACTTACTTAATTGGTATAAATATTAATTAAATGATAACATTTTGAAAAAAATATAAAATAATCAAATTAGAATATAGGAAAGTTATGGAATGTTACAAATAACATAAAAGTAACTGAAATGATCATCTTCATTATAAGCAGTGAACAGAAATAAACAATCATGTGGATTCAATGAGTTTTAATTTCATTTGACTGAATTACTGAGAATAAATGTACTTTTTGAAGACATTGAGAAAATATAGAGCAGAACTGTCACAATAATCAATAAATCAATTAATTACTAATATGACAAATGAAAACTAGACATTCTTATTTTAACCCAAAAAAGTTTTCAGTCTGGTTGTTTGGTCTCAACTGGGAGACTTCATAATTCATTTCTGTTTATTTATTGTGTATATTTGAAATGTTTTCCAGTTCCAGTGTTAAACATGAAGTTTATTGATCGTTGATTCCTATATTTCATTTAAAATGGTAAAACAATGTTAGTTTGTCCTGCTGGTTGGAAACGGCGTTTCACACACATTTAAACTTTGGTTTCTGTCCAACAAGCAGCTTTGTGACATTTGCTTACATTTTAGCTCCAGCAGAAGCTGCTCCTGCATGAATATCATAGTTTTCACATTTGAATGTGAAAATGAGTGCAGAGAGGTGTCGATACAGACACCTAACAGTTGGTAAGCAGTGGTTAAAAAAGTATTTCCTTGTTAACACGACGCTGTCGGAGGTGAATGACGCCAGTTTATACTTTGCTATTTCTGGTGCTCAAGGTATAAATCTGATCTGATTTCCTTCTTTTACTGATGGAAACATTTAACTTTTCGTCAAGACGACTTAAATTATTGATTTCTTTACATTTTATAACTGGATGTTGTTATTTGGAAATTTCCCACATAAGCACAACGCTGGAGCGAAGAAATAAGATTGTTTTCCTTCCCGTCCGTAGCGGCGCTGCTGCAGTAAAACCGTCAAAACGAAACAGATGAAGCTGTTTTTAATACCAGGCAGGGCAGCAAAGGGAAAATACCACAGAAAACTGTTAAATGACTCAGAACCACCTTTCTTCTCTGTATCAGTCTTCAAGTTGTGTTGTCCACATGACCTGTCAGGATTCAACACCAATAAAACATTTCCCACACAGAGAGCAGTTTTATGTTTTCTAGATGATTATTTTATGATTGTTAATCGCTCTGAAAGATTAGCTACCTCTGCAACTAGCTAAGCTAACACACCAGTGGTAGATTAGCTAACACTGCTATTAGCTAAGCGATGGTTGATTAGTTAATTTAAATATCTGCTGATGATCTGTCAGAGTTGATGTTTAGGTCGACTTTATTTTTTATTTTGTACCAAAACACATCAAATTCTGAAGCACATCTACATGTTACGATCTTCATAGTCAAGCTAGCACAACTGAGCTACTTCTCTCTCCTTCGCTGTTTTCCTTCTTAATTAAGACCTTTTCCTGACCGTGTTATTGAGTTGTCATAGTGTCGACTATTAATATCAAGATCTGCATCCCTTTTGTTTTAAATCTTAAGATTTAGCGCTTTATGTTGATAACTTGGTAGCTAAACCAATGCTAGCTAGAGTTAGTGAGCAGCTTTTTGCCCTACAATGTGATGTCACGCTACAACGGGTCCATTTATGATTACAATACACCTGCATTTTTTGGATGATTTTTAGTTATTTTTAGTTAGAAATTTGTAATTTCCTGCAGGAAGCAGTAAAATCTTGTACTTTCTGTTTCCTGCAGCTCATTCTGATGCAGAGGAAGACCCGTGTCACAGGACCAACTGCGGAAGAGGCCGGCAGTGTGTGCTGATGGCGGAAAGCGGGCGCGCCGAGTGCGTGTGCCAGGAAAAATGCCGGCCCTCCTTTGTGCCCGTGTGCGGCTCGGACGGCAGGTTTTACGAGAACCACTGCGAGGTTTACCGCACGGCCTGCCTGGAGAGGAGGCGGATCTACGTGGTGCACAGCAAAGACTGCTTCTTCAGAGGTCAGTCTGCTCACTCTGAGCTCCGGCTGCAAAACCGAAACGACTCGACTGACTCAAACTGACCTTCATTGGGATTAATAGGTTGGGATTGATGAAGAATAGAACATGATCTGGGTTCATCCTGCAGTTTATGAAGTTTGTTTGGTGTTGGATAAGTTTTATTTCTTATTTCTCTCAGTTGTTCCTGCATGAGTTTTTCTTTTTCTTGTTAATAAAAGGTCAGTTTCAGATCTTACCTGGTAGAAATGACACTTTGAAGTTGGATATTAAAGCTGTTAATAACCGTGACTTGCTGGTTTGCATTCAGACACTAAATGGCTAAAAAAGGTTCACACTCAAATAAAACATGCATATTCACCTCCATGCTTTTATTCAGTTACTTTTCACAGAATTCTGTAAGTAAAACTTTGTAATTTTTTATTAGAAATGTTCCCTCACCCAATAAGTCAAAGGTTGTATAAAAAATATTTTAAGTTTTAAACAATTTTAAATGGTGCCTAAATAAGCAACAGCTTTTGTTTTTATTTAAGCTGTTTTTTATTTTCATGTACCAAACTTAGATTATTCAGATTTTACAAACACATTTTCAAACACAACCAGATGGGTAGAAGCTGCACATCTGTGCTTTAATTTGGATTTGAACATTTAAAGCTCTTGTTTGCCAGTTTTGAATCGGGAGTTTGGAGAAGTTTTCTCCTGTTTCTAGTTGCTCACATAAAACCTTTTAAAATCGCTCCTTCCACAGTAGATGTTCAAAAAAAGAAAGTTAGAGCTCTGGTTATTTTTGGTTGCATGTCAGCACAACTTTAAAAAACAGATGCACACATACAGAGCTGGCAGCACTTTTTGTCATGTCACATTAGGGAGGGAAGCGTTGCTGGCAGACACCGCCATGCATATCTAATCCACATTTGGGATGTTCAGCCGCCACATTAAGCTTAAACTTGATGTCTGAATGTAAACCAGCGGGAGATTGGAAACGCTGGGAATAAGTCATGAGCATCGTATTTGTGTGTGTGTGTAAATTGCGAGTAATTATTCCAGTTGACAGACAAAGGCTTCATTGGTAGACATGTCTCACTTTGGCTGCTTAAGTGGGTTTTATAATGGCAGTCTGTGTTGGCGGACACAGACCAGGAAATGAAACGTTGGTTCATTTGAATTCACGACTGTTGGATCCAACATGTGGCTCAGATTCAGCCTCAACTTGTTTAATTACAGCTGCAGAAAAAGAACTTTACTTTTATTTAGCGCTTGCAATTTTATTTCTTTTAATCAAACCCAATAATCTCTAAGCCCAAAGAACGGAGGCCTTCGTAAAAAAAAACTAACCCAGGGGAAGGCAACGCCAGGCCTGGAGAGCAGCTCTCCTGCAACTTTTAGACGTCTCCCTGGTCCAACACAGCTGATCCAAATAGTCAAGTTCTCCAGAGTTCTGCTAATGACCCCATTATTTGGCTGGTGTGTTGAACACGACCTGCTGGGGCAACACGGCCTGCTGGGGCAACACGGCCTGCTGGGGCAACACGACCTGCTGGGGCAACACGACCTGCTGGGGCAACACGGCCTGCTGGGGCAACACGACCTGCTGGGGCAACACGACCTGCTGGGGCAACACGGCCTGCTGGGGCAACACGGCGGCCGTAGTCGTCCTGCTGGGGCAACATGGAAGCAGTTGTTTGAGTTCAGATATTCTCTTTGAAGCAGAAGGTTTTCTTTGACTTGGTTGGATTTTTGTCGTTAAGCATTTTGGTTTGTGTTCAGTACTTTAAATTCTAATATAAATTCCCACAAACAAATAAAGTGACAGATGATTCAGAGTGAAATAGAGGCAAAGCAGGATAACAGGATTTGTGATGCAGCATTTTAGGATCATTTTGAGCTGAAAAAGTTTTCAGCGGCACAAAAACTTAACCATAAAACAGATTACTTTGCTTTCTGAGCGGAAATGAACAAAACTATCCGACATTCAGTGGCGACAACAGGAGCATCATTTTCCCTCAAACTAAAAGTAAAATCAATTTTAAGATTTGTAGCACAAAGTCCTGTTTGCATGAGAGCATCATAATCACCTGGACGCTTTTATTCTCCTACTTTTCAGAAAATATTTAAGAAAACTGTGTTTTTCAGCGCAGTTGTTAAAAAGGTCATATAAAAATAATTTAAACTCTACACAATTTTAAATGAGGCCTAAATAAGAAACATTTCTTACTGCACAATTTTTATTTAAGTTGTATTTTATTTTCATTTGCCAAATTTGGATTATTTTGAGCAAGTCCAAATTTGTTGTTTGTAGTATGTTCAAAGATTTACATATTTTCATAAATTACCAAAAAACTAAATAAGGAAAGAAAAGGACGAATGAAGAGAACATGAATAAAGTTATTAAATTAAGTGCACAAAACATTTAATGTTTTCATCAATAATAGCATCATTTATGTTAGATTTATTTCCACAAAGGGCTTTTGGTAAAAAAAAAACATTTATAATTTTAACATGCTGGATGCATGAACAGTTCATCACAGCCGTCATATTTATAATAAAAGATTTGAGTCTGTATTTAATTACAGATGAAGGTTTTTCCTGCTTGTTGACATTTTGATTTCCAACAACAAACTATTTCTAAGAACCAACATTCTGGATTATCAGAGAATTATTCATAATTTACCTTTTTAGGAATGTGAGAGAATAAAGCCTGCAGTTAGAGCTGCATTTTAGGCATTTCAGCCTCAAAGGGACATAATCTGATTTACACATTTAAAAATCTCATTACATTTAGCAATCAGTGGACTGATTTGTAGAATTAGCATCACAATCACAGATGTTTGGGGTCTCTGTCCCTTCCTCATCCTGCCTGTGATTACGAGCGTCTGCAGCTGATTAATGGCTCTCATCATGGTGATGAATAGGAAGCCTCGGGTCCTTCGGCTTGTTTAGGACGCTCGCTCTTCAGAGCGTCCAGGTAGAAGCACTTCATCAGTGATGGATGACGCTCTGCAGGGGACCTGGTGACCTTTGGTGACCTTCGGGTCCGATCGGGACGGCTCAGGGGAGGAGTTAGGGTTATGATGATGTGTTTCATTTAAATTTATCCGCCTACCATTTCTCCTAAAAGCAAACCGAATCTTTTACCAGTGGAAAGTTTAGTCAGAAAAATTAATGGCTTTATTTGACTTTGTGAACTTTAAATTTTGACCTGAATGTCTGAACTCCAGATTAAGATTAGGAGTTAATCCCGTTTTGTCCCATAAGACCTGCAGAATTCAGGGTATTTTTATGTGTTGAACACAAAGTTGTGGATAATTGTGAAGTGGTTTTGAAATTATTGACCATGTTGGAGAAATATTTGACATGGTTTTCATGGTTCTGCTCGCTTGCATCCATAGAACATATAGATTTATTGTCTGTTAAATAATTCACAGGTGTACGCTTCTCTTACAGAGAGGAGACGTTTTTTATTTTTTAGAAAAGTTCTGCGTATCACTTGGTTTCTTTATTGTAAAAACTATGTAAAGAAATTGCTGAGTTTTATTGACGCTGTTTTCAGGATAATGTTTGGTTGCTTGATCTATGACACTCTGTGAACTGCAGAGCAATTAATGAATTGTATTAATTGTATTTCTGGGTGATTTTAACAGCTAAAATAACAGGTATAAATGTTTCTAATGTGGAAAAGACTCAGATATTCCAGACTATGATGTTTATGGTGGATGAGTCGGATGCAGGAAGGATGTTTTCCGCTGGAAATTATTTTTTACATGTTTAAAATAAAGATTTAATTCCTTCTTTCAGTTATTAACCATTATTTACATGCAAAATTTGACATCAGTTATTTGACATCAGTTATTGTGACAAATCTTAATTATTTGCATAATTAAGATGGCTTCCACTGCGCGTGTTGTTAAACGATTAGCTTCCTGCTAAAGCTATACATGTGACATCACACATCCCTGATCTGTACAGCTTTCAGCCATCTTGGCAGGCAGTTGCCAAGCCAACACTAAACACGCCACCAGCTTAGAGCGAGCTCTCTCCTTGTTCATGTCTGACTTGTATCACATGTTCTCTCTGCCAGAACCTTGTTACTCAAACTGTTCGTGGATCCTTTATAAAGCTGTTTAAACTCCTGAAGCTCCTCCATGTTCTGAACACTCTTCATGTTCACCAAGAAGTGAAATTTATCCTAGTTTGAGATCGGAAGCAGCTCATGTGACGTATTTTTCTTTTCTCTCAGTTTGATCCACACAGCAGCCATTTTGTTCTCGTGTTTTTCTCTCGCATGTTTTAAGAGTTTCTACATATTTTCCTGGATGTTGGGAGCTGTGGGTCCACTCTGCTTTGTGCTGCGTTTGCCTACCAAGATGGCGCCGATCACTTCTGGTTGTGGGAACTGTGTGTCAGCAGGCAGCTGTGGTGTAAATCCTGGGAGTCCCAAATGTAATAATTGGTCATCAGAAATAATCTGGAATTCAAAAGATGTTTCCAGATTTGGACCAATACCAGTGTAGTCTATTTTTACACATTTCTCCCAGTCCCTCTCAGCCGTCCATTTTCTACTCAGCCTTCAATGTAAGAACCCATCAGAGCAGGATTTATGTAGCGGCTGCAGTTGTTGCATCAGCCAGGAGCGCCGTCCCTCCGTCTTCACTAACCTTCTGCCTCCTCTTGTGACTGCAGCCATTAACTGGGCCACACAAACGCTCTGCACTCACCAAGAGGATTAACATCTGACACGAGTTCAGGCTCTGGAACTTCAGCTGTGCACACAGAGGTACAGGACAGCAACCAGCGGCTTTTCTGTTTGTGTTTGCACTGCTAACATTCCTCTTTTGGTGACAAAATGTCAGAAGATTTTGTCACCACGAAATGCTTCATGATTTATTCTGTTAAAAACTGAAACCATTTTAGCAGATCAAATGCTGACACATCCAGACGACAATACAAGTTTAAATTATTGATGCACCGATTTATCAGTAAACATTTCCTTAATTTTGGGAGAT